AGGTGCAAAAGATAGAGGAACAAGCTGGGATGGAATGCTTACTTTTAATAGAAATAAAAAAGCAAACTGAGTTTGCTGCAAATCATTTTGAGTGAAGAAGACGTCTCCGCTGCAAGCTGGCTGATAAGTACCGACTGCCGATGATCCACTAGGCAGAAAAGAGGTAAAAAACACAGGCAATTTGTATCGAAACGAACAGTCACAAGCTGGGCGAGTCATCATGTGAAAAAAAGTCACATGCATGCACCGAGCTTGACAGCACAACTCATCTGCTGCGCACACATATTTTTGCCCTTGATTCATATCGAGCACGCGCATCATCTAAAAGCGGCAGTTCCGTGCCCCATCGGTTGCATTCACAGATTCCAGACGTCCGCTGGCTGACAACAAGCAGACTAGGAAAGGTGCAAAATTTTCGGAAAATCATATGCATAGTAACAGCTCACTTTTGCATGCTGGCCAACAGAATCAACTGGTATACCTGAAAAAAAGCTTATCAATTGCCAGCAGCACAAGAAACTTCCTTCTCCGCCTCACCTTGACTCAAAAATTTTTCCACATTTCACTACTGATGACAGGTGGTGAATAATGGTGCAGCAGAAAATATCAGCACATAAAAAGGCCAGTTTCTGCACTGTCTTCTTAACTCTATTTTAGCACTATAACCCTCCGTATTCGCTCTCAGTAAAAGGAGGCCTGGGCAGTCGGGAAATAGCCTGAGTGGTAGCAGTTGCCAACAGCAATTACTCGCTAGCAAGGCTGTCAATGATTCATCGAAATAAGCCGTAAAACTGCCTCATTTGCAGAATATTTCCAAAAACGGCCTGTGTGTTCAAGCTATCACGGATATCAGAGCAGCAGTCAACTAAAACAGTTACGCTGCAGCACTACGATAAGGTGTCGCTCGCTCATGTAAAAGCAACACCACCAGGGGCCTGAGAACTGTCATCGAGCACTCCCGGCTATTCGAGGCACCTTAGCAATCCAATCCGCTGCACCAAAAAAAGTCGAGAAAAGATGGCCGGCGTGAATTGTTAGTAAAAAAAAAAAAATAAATAAATGGCGGCGCGCACCAGGATAGCCGGTGCGGTGCGATCATGTGTTTTGCGCAGTGCAACTAGGGAGTGTGGAAAAATAGTCGATATGCTGTCTGATTCCTAAGCTGACTAATTTCTCACCAAAAATTTGAAGTGCCAGTATATGAAAACAAAATTTGGAACCTTGGACGGGGAACATCTTTCCAAATTTTAACTTCCCAGTTTTTCGCCTTTCGAACTAGTGACTTTCGCACCAAAACTCTCACGTGGTCGTACGTAAGACCTCGGCATACTTGGGAGTTAAATTTGATTTTGCAAAGTATCGGCACAGGCAGGAAAAATCCCCCTGAAATTCCCGAAATAATAATTTTCCTCATCAAAACTTTCAAGGGATCGCACAAGAGACCCAGGTGTACATGAAAGCTGTATTTGATTCCGCGAGGTCCCACTCTCCCAAAATTTCAGCTTCCTGTCTTTTGTAGCTTTCATGATTGTAATTTCTCCCATCGAAACTTTCATGAGGATATAACTGTGATCCAGAATTAACTGATTTTGAATTTATGGGTCGCACAAGGGTAAGAAAAATTCTCGTTAAATTTCAGCTTTCTTGCTTTCATAGTTTTCAGAATAATTTTTCCGCCAAAACCTTCAGGGAGCCATACGTG